ATTAGTTGTGTTGCAGAAAATGAAAGGTTCTCACCAAGTATATGTGGTGTCTCCACCCCTCACCCATCTTTGCATATGTATCTCTTAAGAAGAATGATGTATGATCTGGTGAGATAATTTTTTCTCATAATCTTGAAGAAGCAGAAGTCTGACTTTTATCAATAGGCATTTCCTCTAGACAGCAAGCTTGTGCTGAGACTTAAATGACACCATTGATTTTTTTTCCTCTAGTGTCCTGGTGGTTTTTGATTTAACTTTTACTTCAGTTAATAATCCCCAAATAAGTTAGAATCAGATGCAAAGAGGAAAGTACCCATTTAGACACAAGATCAAATCAAGGTTTAGAAGGTGGTCTCTTATTTTCCTGATAGGTGTTGGTGGGTTATAATGATATGTACCTTTTTTATTTAAATTTGTGTGAGGGTTCCTTTTGAATACATTGGAAAAAAAACATTTTTGCAATCAGCATTTCTCAGTATTAATGAGCATTATCTTTAGTATTAGAGAATGTGACTCAAGTTATCCAAGGGTGACTTGCAGCCATTCCCCACTTCAGATAAAGCAAGACTGTCATTTTGCTGGTTGCTATGGCTTCTGTTTTGCAGAAGAAATTGCTGTTTGTGTTTAATACTTGGCTGCAATCTTCTTGGAGGTTTGCTCAAAGACAGCTGGCAATATCCATTAAGCCAGTCCAGTATGACTCTTCTCTCAATCCAGCACAGTGCCCTGTCCATTCCAGCGGCTCACTATGTGTCTGCTCACTGAACTAGATTTGAAAAACATCGAGACTTTCAGGTATAACAGGAAGGTGTCCCAAGAGGCAGGTAGGCAGCTAGGAAACAGTGCTTCAATTTTCCCCCTGTCCTCAAGTTGCCAGGTTCCCAGCATGTAACAGAGTGGTAGATATTACATTAAGCTGATGTTTAGAGGTTGTTTTGTGTGTCTTTTTTTTTTTTTTTTTAAGGCAAAATGGGTCTGACAAAGACTTCAGATGTTTTGCCCACTAGGGGAATGTGGATCCTCAGGGATCTTTGATGAATTACTTTGCCTAACAAGGCAGAGCATGTGTTTCTTTGTGCTGTGTGCCAGGTTCGTTTAGGTGTTTGGAGCATTAAAGCAGAGAAGGATGCTCTGCCTTCTTCTGCTACCAGGATTCCTAAGGAAGCCAGGAAGTCAAAGCTTGATGTTGGCACAGGAGTGCAGCTGGTAATTATTCCTGCTGAGCTGTTTACTCTGCCACCTAATGGTTGACAGACACTGGGTGTGGTGGGCGTACTTTTCTAAGTACCTGTTTGTAGAACTCAGGCAGCTAGGGCAGAGCTAAAACAGCAGTAATTTGAAACCAGTAGCGTTGGTTTTCCTTCTCCAGCCGGCAGCTGAAATCTGCATTCCAGATGCAACCTGCGCAGAAGAGGAAGAAAGCATTTTAAAAAAAAAAAAAAAAAGACTTCAAGGGCAGTAAATTGACTGCTTTGCAAGTTCTGGGTACTTTAAGATGATCTTTACTTTTTCCCTTTTGATTAGGGCTTGTAAGCTGCTGTTGATGTGGGTGCCCTACTAGTGTTGTTGTTGTTGTTGTTGTTTTGACTTGGCGGGCCCAGGCCTCTGATCATATTCCAGATGGAAAAGAGGGCTCATGTAAGGAGTAGTTCAAACATTTTCTGCTGATTCACTTCTGAATCCCTTAGGCTGCTCCAGGGGGTGGTTAAGGACTGTCAAGATCAGCTTGCCGCCTCAGCACTTTCAGGAACCTCAACTTGCTCACCAATGAGGAAGTTGAATGCAACCAGGAGAACCGCAGCACTGGGGCGGAGCTCCTCCCGAAGTCCTGACTGGGACTACGGGGCAGGCTGACTTTCCTATGACAAAAAGTCTTTTGTCCAGGGGAATAAATACGGAAGTCCAAGAAGAGCAGCCTCCTGTCCGCGTGTAGTAAAGGTGCGCAGCCTCAGCTGCTCCTGGGCATAGAGCTCCACAGGCTTTTTACGGTTGCCCCGAGCACGCCTCCGTCATCGAGTAAACCGGAAGGGAGGGCACAGTGACCCGAGGGAGACCAAGTGTATTCTCTGAGCGGCTGAGAGCCTGGCTCCCTCCCGGGTCCTGTTGCTCCCTGCCCTGTAATTTCAGGGCAGATGGAGTGGATAAATTGAGAGAGCACAGCGAGAGGGTAGCACAAGTCAGAACTTCCTCTCAGGGCCTGTGGAGACATGGAGGAGGTTGGGAACTCTCTAAATGGCAGTGATGTGTCGGAACCAGAAAAATCCGAAGCTGGACTTGAAATGGCTCAGTCGATCCTGAGTAAGTTTTCTATGAAATCCCTCTTTGGATTTACAAACAAGTTGGAATCTGTGAAGCCTGAAGAGGAGGATGCTGTGCTGAAAGCATTCCGCAGTTTAGATGTGGATCCCACATCTCAGCAGGATGATCCCAGCAAAGGCTCAGATGAGCTGGAGGCAGAGGCTCAGGTGCCACCTGATCTAAGAAATGCGGGGAAGACTGAAAGCGTGGAGAGAGAATCAGAGGGAAGTCAGGGAAAAGCAGAAGCAGGGAGTTCTCTCGGTGGTCAAGAGCTTCTTCCACTTGCTACTTTGAATGTGGGCAGAGATGATGTCATCTGCGTCCGTGGGACCCTTGTGCATACCACCAGTGATTCTGACTCTGATGATGGAGGCCAAGAGCCAGAAGAGGGAAGCAGCACCAATGACCCAAAGTCCTTTAGTGTTAACTTATCTGAGCCATCTCAGGAGCCCAAAGAAAACCCAGGAGGTTCTAGAGAAAATGCTAGCACTGGGGAAATGGATGATGCAGAGCTCTGTGCAGAAAATCCTCAAAGGAGTGCATCTGAGATAAGCAGCAAATTGGAACCTGGCGATGATGGCCTTCAGACAGAGCATAGCCCCAGCCAAGGCCAAGCTGGAGAAGAAGGGTCCCAAGTCCCACCTATAGCAACAGGCAAGAACTCCAGCGCCGATATCACTGCAAGTGTCTCTCTCAAAGGAGAAGTCCCTGGAGAGAAGTCGTTCCAGCTTCCAGCTTTTTTCAGTGGGCTTCGTGTACTGAAGAAAGGGGCCACAGCAGAAGGAGAGGAGACCATCACTGAAATTAAACCAAAGGATGGGGACCTGGCTTTGCTCAAGTTGACCCAGCCTGTTCAGAAGTCTCTGGTGCAGACAGGGCCACAGACTGTGAAGAGCAGGGAGAGAGCAAGTGATCCGAAGGCCACTCCCACTCTCCTGGAGCAGCTCTCTCAGCTACTCAACATTGACATGCCCAAAACTGAACTGAAGGGAGCAGACCCCAAGTCGCATGGAGGAGGAGAGATGGGCTGTAGTGCTGATCAGGAGAGCCAGAGGGACTCTGAAGATGTCCAAACCCAGAGTGGCGAGGTCAAGCCAAAACCACCAGAGACTGCTCTGGAGGCTTTTAAAGCCTTATTCATCCGTCCCCCCAAAAAGGGAACTACGGCTGACACCTCTGAGCTGGAAGCTCTTAAGCGCAAGATGAGACATGAAAAGGAGTCACTAAGAGCTGTGTTTGAGCGGTCCAAGTCCAAACCAGCAGATAGCTCGTCTGATTCCAAAAGCGTATGTAGAATTTGGTTTTGCATTTTACCATAAAATGTGATGCCACATTATTTGTTTTCAGGTTTGCCGACAAAGCGAATTCCAGTTGCCTATCGTTAGTGTTCTTGCATGGGTGAAAAATGATTTTAATGAAATCAAATCATCCTTGTAAGGAGTATTGAGTTGGAGAGGAGTGCTTTTCTCTCTTTCGCATATTTCTTGGAGTGTAATAAGAGAGATATATGTAGAGATGTGTGAGTAGGAAGGGGGAAACCCTTGCTCTGAGTTTAAACATCAATAGTAAATACTTATAAAGATTTAGCAGCATGGGAAGCGATGCATATGGAGGTATAGCCTGCATTTATAGGGATTTCCTCACTGCTTAATTATCCCTCTGTGAAAACTATGATTTCCTTTGAAAGTCTGCCATTTAGCAAAATATGTGTTTCTGATGTAATTGAAATGTTCCATGTTGGCTGTGGGGCTTCCTGATTGAGCACTGAATTTAGAGTGAGAACTGGGTTTTAATTCTAACTCTGCCATTTACCGGCTGAGTGACCTTGATAATTTCTGAGTCTCAATCTCAATGTGCAAAATAAGGAAAATAACCCTTACTTTATGTGGTTATCATGAAGATTAAATTAAGCTCTGTATAAAATGTATCTAATTCATGAAAACAGTTATTCAAAGAAAATAACTTCAGATAATGTATGTATAAAGACTAGGAAGCACCTGTCTGGTAGATATTAAATGTTCATAAAAACAATTAATAGAATTTATTTCTTAAGATCAATTCAGAATGTGATTACCACTCCTTCCTGTATATTTACTATGCTCTTTTGAATCAAAAATTCAAGTCATTAGAAAAATGTTCTCAGGTTGTGGTTAGAAACTAAACAAAAAATAGCATTCTTATAGATGTAAAAATCAATTCCTATAAAAATAACTTGAATGTGAAGGCAATTTCATTTATTTTTTTACTAGGAAAGAAAGAATTAAGCAGTGTGGAACATATAAAAAAGTGTATCTTGGCCCGTGCTAATGTTCATGGAAAATGCAAAATTAATCCTTATTAGTCCTGGAGTTGTTTGGAATATGATTGTAAATAGTCTATAAATGTATCAAAATAGTACGTTTGTGTCTGTTTCTTCAACTCAAAGTTTATTTGTGCTTTAAAAAAATAGCTTTAAAAAAAAAAGCTATTAAGGGTTGTGTAGTACTTGGCCTTAATTTTCACCCCAACTGATCATTTATACTTCTGGAAAAGAGTTGTACCTTAGTAGGATGTCTCGACTGTAATGAATGAGAGCAGTGTGCTTCTGGCCATTAAAATTAATATTAGAATTAGTGTTAGCATGTTTATTTTCAATAATTAATGGGCTCTGGCCACATTTCATTTTACTGATTTTTTTTTTTTTTTTGCCTGCTTTTCAACAGCCTGACCAGAGCCCTACAGAGCAGGACGACAGGACTCCTGGCAGACTCCAAGCTGTCTGGCCACCCCCAAAGACAAAGGACACAGAAGAAAAAGTGGGACTGAAGTACACTGAAGCAGGTAATGTGAAAGGAAGTCAGGCACCCAGGAACAAATCTCTTCCTGCAATAGCTTTTAGCACTAGTTCAGTAGACTCTCAGGATTTGGGGTTTTGTTTCATTATAAAATGTAATGCTGAATGCTTCTCTTTGGTTCTGCTGTTAAAGAAAACCTCTTTGCACATTTACTGCTAGTGAGATGAAAGGTGAATGCTGTGGAATGAATGGAAAGGGGGCACTTGTGTCAAGTAGGAGAGCCTTTGGGGAGCAAATGGAGAAGGTAGATTGCACATTTCTTGGGAAGCAGCAGGTGGCTGGTGCTCATATAATGTATGAGTGGGCAGTGTTGTTGGAAGATGCAGAGTATGGTTCTCCAGAGCTGTAATCTGATTTCTTGTTTGTCTCTTGAGTAATACTTTTGAGATAAAGGCACCTTGTGCAGAGTGAATGTACAGATACCGTATCAGTTACTCGTTCACTTTCGTTAAACAAAGATTTATTTAATGCATGGCCAATTTTAAAGCAATCTAACTCTCTGGAAAACTTCCCAGGAAATTTTCTTGGGTCTATTTAAATGGAATAGGAATCTAGATATTTTTATTCTTTAACTGAAGAGTTACAGATGGATATATTTTAATATATCCATCCAGTACGTGTGTGTATCTCTGATGAAACCTCTTTGCCTTCTTCCTGATACTTGGAGATTACCTATTGAAGGAGTCCAGGGACTGTCACTCCAAAATGTGGTGCCCTGGTACACTTTAATTTTACTTTAAAGGAACTTAAAAAGTAGCAGATGCACTAGACACAGTGACTTGAGAGGCTGAGGCAGGAGGATCGCAAGCTTGAGACTAACCTCAGCGACTTCGTGAGGCCCTGTCTCAAAAATATCAAAATAAAAAATAAGAAAAGGGGCTGGAGTGTAGCTCTATGGGTAAGCACCCTGGGGTTCAGTCCCTAGTACACCCCCCTCCCAAAACAATAATAACAACAGCAACAAAAACCTGCAGATGCTAGAAGAGATGTTACTGTGACACCTCCTTATCTGTTTAAAGTCTGTATCCACTAAGGAAGAAAGCAATCACCTCTGGGGTTTTTGCTGAGTTTTCTTTTAACTAAATTCATATGGCAGGAAAAAAGTCCAAAGTCTGTTAACATACCTGGGTGGACTTTTGCTAAACACCATTGTCTTCTATTTCAACCCCAGTCAGTATTGGTGTGGGGAGGGAATTAAGATTCTTCTGTAAAGAGAATCATTTGCAATTCTTTACCTACTCAGGGACCCAATGACTTTGTCCCAATCTACCAAATGTTTTTTTCAGGCTCTCAGAGGTCCCTAAAAATCATGTACTATTCCTCTAAAACTTGTCTAAATTTCCCATTTCCCCTCCCCCTATGAAATAAAAATGCATGGGCTTCAGAACCTGCTGGGCTGTGGGCTCACTGCCTTCACGTGCACAGTAAGACTGTGCTTTTCTCCCATCTCATCCATTTACTGTCAGTTCATTCTAGTGACCCTTTAGAGGATAAAAAAAGCCTTTCTTTTCATCTCTACACTGTATATGACTTACATTTTGTTGGTTGTCTTACGTATATGTGTATATTAAGATCATTATACATAGTTATAGAAAAATATTTTTTGTAAGTGGATCAACATCTGGGTGGTTCAGTAGGTTTTTCTTTTAATATCAAATATCTTTAGTGCTTGAGAGCATACTGGCAGGTGAATCCTTAAGTCATTTCTAACCTCTACTGTAGGTAACAACTGCAGACTTGTGATTCTTAGCATTTTATTTTTCTGTAGTGCTTCTTGTATAGAATGAAAAGTTCCAATATCTTCAATAAAAGTATACATAGCTATTTCAGCTGGCCTACACACCTATGGTTTTCTAGACTTGGACTATTATGAGTACAATATTGAAGCACCTGCCACGTTCTTTTTTGTCATCACGTGGCACAATGTGATGTACCAAGGTTTCTTTAATAAAAACAAAACCCAGGCATTGTTGTTGTAGATCAGTAGTAGAACACTTACCTGACATATGTGAGGCACTGGGTTTGATCCTCAGCACCATATGAAAACAAAAGGTATTGTGTAAAACAAAACAAAACAAATAAAAATTCAGAATACCATGAGCTCTCATTCCTACTTTATGTTGTTGGTAGTAGTCTTTTACAGTTTTGTCCCAAACAGTGTGGCAGTCTTGCTTGTGATAATGAGCATTTGTTGAGTAGAAAAGGAAATAAATACCACAATTTTTTAAAATTAATTTTTAAATTTGTTTTAATTAGTTAGACATAACAGTAGAATTCATTTATGTACTTTGATATACATAGATGGGATATAATTTCTCATTTTTCTGAATGTACGGGTTGTAGAATCATATTGGTCATGCAGTCACATATCTACATAAAGGATAATGTCTGTTTCATTCTACTATCTTTCTTATCCATACATCCTCTCCCCTTCCCTCCCATTACTTCCCTCTACCTAATCTAAGGTAACACTATTCTTCTCTAGTGCCCCCTGCCATATTGTGAATTAGCATCTACATATTATAGAAAATATTTGGTCTTTGTTTTTTGAGGATTGGCTTATTTCGCTTAGCATGATATTCTGCAACTACATCCATATACTGGCAAATGCCATAATTTCACTCTTCTTTAAAGTGAGTAATATTCCATTGAGGATATATACTACATTTTCTTTATCCATTCATCTATTGAAGGACACCTAGGTTGGTTCAATAGTTTAGCTATTGTGAATTGAGCTGCTATAAACGTTGATATGGCTGCATTACTGAAGTATGCTGATTTTAAGTCCTTTGGGTATAAAGTGAGAAGTGGGATAGCTGGGTCAAACGGTGGTTCTATTCCCAGTTTTCTAAGGAATCTTCACACTGCTTTCCATAGTGGTTGCACCAATTTGCAAGTCCTACCAGCAATGTATGAGTGTACCTTTTTCCCCACATCCTTACCAACATTTGTTGTTCCTGTATTCTTGATGATTGCCATTCTGACAGGAGTGAGATTAAAACTTAGAGTAGTTTGGATTTGCATTTCTCTAATTGCTAGAGATATTGAACATGTATAACACATTCATATATTTGTTGATAGATTGTATTTCTTATTCTGTGAAGTGTCTGTTAGTTCCTTAGCCCATTTGTTGATTGGGTTATTTGGGTTATTTGTTTTTTTTGTTTTTTTTTTTGGTGTTAAGTCTTTGAGTTCTTTATATATCCTAGAGATTAATGCTTTATCAGAGGTGAATGGTGAATGTGATACAGATTTTCTCCCAATCTGTAGGCTCTCTCCTCAGGTTATTGATTATTTCCTTTGCTGAGAAGAAGCTTTTTAATTTGAATCCATCCCATTTATTGATTCTTGATTTTACTTCTTGCACTTTAGGAATCTTGTTAAGGAAGTCAGATCCTAGGCCAACATGGTGAAGATTTAGGCCTATATTTTCTTCTGTTGGGTGCAGGCTCTCTGTTTGAGTGCCTAAGTCTTTGATCCACTTTTAGTTGATTTTTTTGTGAGGGTGAGAGATAGAGGTTTAATTTCATTTTGCTACATATGGATTTCCAGTTTTGCTGGCACCAAAATACCGCAAATGTTTTTAAATCCACCGTGAGTACAATTTTAGAGTATGTATGTCCTTAGTCTTTGCTTTCTTTCCTTTTCTATTTCTTTCACAGGAGCATTTCAATCTACCTTTGTGATGATTTTTCCTACCTGTTTTCATGTAATGTGTCCTATTGAACATCTTACATGAGATAAGGAAAAGTGACAGGGAGGGGCTGATAGTTCCAATAGGTGGTCTCTGCTGCACAGTGAGGCGGGGAGGGCTGACATAGTCTGCAGAGGTGTGCAGGCCCCAGCCGGCCCCCTCAGTACTATGGCTCTCCACTGTGCTCCAGGGTCTAGTGCTCAGCATTTTGAGAGCCTTCTTGGTTCTCATTAATCAGCTGGCATACTTTAGGGGAGGGGAATTCCCAAAGAAGCATGAGATATTCCATGCCTAAAGGAAATTTATCTTTTGCCCCATTAACTGTTTATCTGTATGAGGTTGCCTTGTCATTTATTGCTAACTTTGAGAAAGGTGACACTTTCCCCTGTGATTTCTTAAGCTCTGTTTTTCAAGTGAACAGGAATCCTATGAGTATATAATTGAACACATTTTGTGGTATCCTCATTGGCTTTTCCTCTCTTAGAGAAACATGAAAAATTTGCCACTCAGTAGGGTACACAGAGGTGGCTGGGGCTGGGGCTCAGTGGCAGCACACTTGCCTGGCGTGTGTGAGGCATTGAGTTTGATTCTCAGCACTGCGCATAAATAAATAAAATCAAGGTCTATCAACAACTAAAAAAATATAGGGAACACAGAGACAGAAATTAGGTCCAGAGAGTCCAAGTTGTTCAAGTCTTATTGCTAGGAGCCACAGCCAAGTAATATGATGCATGGCACTTTTGGTTGTAAGGTGACGCCAGCTAGCCATTGAGATGATATGATTATGTTAAGATTTACATTCATATGGATTTTGGACTCCTGCTGTTCACCTTGGCCTGCTACGGGACTCCTGGAGAGTTCCCATTGGTTGGGGAAGGACAGTAGGAGGGAATTCCGAGGGAGGTCCTGGTCCCCAGTTCCGGTAGAACTGACCGCGTGTGTGGACCGGCTTGCTTCCAGGAAGTACGGGGTATTGGCGGCATTTTCAAAAATAAAGTTTTGTTCCTGCTTGAGTGGCTCGTGATTCTGTGCCCAGCCAGACTGCGGCATCTTATGCTTTTACATCTCCTTTATTCCTAGAGTGCATTACTTGTTTATTAATCTAGTGAAATGGAAGATTAAGACGCCAGTGTTGCTGTTTCTCATGAACTGTTGAGTTATGTGCTGCTGACATCCCTGCCCAGTCATCTCCTGGCAGAACTGGGAGAGAGGTGGTGTTTTCACCATGAGCCCCCCACTGTCCTTGTGCTGCCCCAGACCACTTCAGATTTGTCACTGCTTTGATTTTCTTC